TTGAATTCGAGATTGTTTGGGTCCCTGTTTAGTTCCCATGTGACCATGTGCAACGTGGAGAGGGCCTGTAAGTCATCTATTCAGTTTGATATACAATTATACAAGGCATATACAAAACAAATGTTTCTGGCACAAATTGTTCGTAGCGCGAAAATTCCGCATCTATCCGTATGCTACGATAAAAGCAAGTGCATGTGTATCTGTGTTAATGGAGTCGTGTTTGCCGACCCCTCCACCAGGTGCCGCTCATGACGTTCCACCCCAAGCCCGTGGTGTTCACGGTCAACGGGGACGGCAAGAAGGACCCGGCTGCCCCGCCGCCCTTCGACGGGCTGCCCTGGGGATGGTGGCAGGCGAGGACCACGCTGCTCGCCGGCCTCTGCAAGGTAAGCTCTTCTCTAGCCGAGTGGAGCCACGAGTGAGTGAGTGAATGGGCGAGTGTGAGAGAAAATACTAGTCGTGAGCCATAATGTAAGCCTCAAAATAGGCAATTGAAGTGAGTTAAATTTGTCTATATAGTTCTAAGAAACCCTGAACGAAATTTATTCTTGAATGTGTCCGGAGTAGAGAAGAGTTTTATGAAAATAAATAACAACATTGGAGGGACAGTTTATGAAGAATTTGAGAGATTTTTTTTGTTGACGCGCCTGGTAGGTAGGCAATAGTGTGCAGGCGTCTTGAGCAGGTGGCCTATCCTGAGACCCACAGGGGTCCAAAGGGTGATGATGATCAGCTGGTCAGATCAGAGAGTTTTGGAAACATCGGTCCAATTTGGTCATAGACACTTGACATGTCTCACTGTTCCATGCCATAGGTGACGACGGCATGGCACATGGCCATGGTCCTGTACGCCGCCATGCCCTCGCCGTTCGGTGAGTTCCGCTGCCTCAAGTCTTCGAGTAACGCCAGCGCCGTCACCGGCATGGACTGGCTCCTCTCGGACAAGTTCTGGGACTGGACCTGGGACCCCTGGGTGCCATGTGACGAGGGGGAAGTCGTTGGTAAGGAAAACGAAACCACTGCTTTTGCGATTGCAAGTAATTTTAGCACACCGCTTGCTTGCATAGGTTGTTTTGGATTGTGGTGCAAATGATCGACGACGCCAGCTAAAATGACCGTAATAGTCCACGTGGTGCAGAGTACGGTGTGCCTGGAAAGCAGCTCTGGGCACCGCGCCGTCACGACTCTATGCGCGTTCGCTACTCCTTCTTGTGTCATCTGCAATCACACTCCGATACCTACAAGGAAGACACACGTACTTCTGGGCTTCCAGGACAGACTCACGTAATTCCGAGGACCGAGGGTAGACTCACGTAGTTCTGATGCCCAATGCAATAAACACGTAGTTCCATAGCCTCTAAAGCAGCATCAAATACAAAGTGTTCCACTAATTGTACAGCAAGTAAATTTCTTGGACCAACTGCTCATGTTACCAGGTTTAATAAAAGACCACCCTTAAATCAATAGGTCACATCTACAAACGGCAATAGGCATTCTTTCAGGTGTAAGTTTTGAGGTTAAGGGAACTACGTGGATATGCATGCACGGCCCAGAACTGCGTGAGTCTGTCCTGTGGGCCCAGAAGTACGTGAGTCTGTCCTGAGAGCCCAGAAGTACGTGTGTCTTCCTTGTAGGTATCGACTCATGTATTGCCCTTCCCCACCACAATGAGCACAGAACATTGCTCTGTTTGCGCTGTCAAAATGACGGAGGGAAACCCACTAACCTACCTCTT